TTTTTTGAGACAAGGTCTCATTTTGTAGTTTAGGCTGGCCTTGAACCATTATGTAGCCCAGGCTGGCCTGAAATTTGTGGCAGTCCTCCTGCCTCAGCCTCCTGACACTGGGATTATTAGCATGCATCACTATGCCCAGGCTTTTCATCATTTTTTAAAGGATTCTAAAGTGTGTACAGTATTGAGGGATCTTGATATAGGTGTTCTTGATACAGAGTAGCAGTAGTAACCTGTACTTTTTGCATTTGAAGACTGAGGGGAGAGGAGGAAAAAATGGCCTGCTCACCCCCGGAAGAGTTCAGTCCAGAGGTGTACTTGGGGCTCTGCTCTATGTAGGAGGTTCAAGGAAAAATGAGACTGTGTGCACGGAGTGATGTACAAAACTCCAAGTTAGGCAACGTGTAGCAGTCAACATTACCTTAGTCTAATTAAGTCTGTTCCCTGCTTAATCAATGTGATTGTATAATTGTCCAAAAGAAAGGAAATCCACTCAAATCGTTGTTTCAAGTGTGTTCGGTAGTCACTGTGTTAGTCCATTCTAGTTATTACAATACAATACGCTAGATTGGGCGATTGATGAACAACGCAGTTTTTATTTACATTTCTAGGGGTGAGAAGTCTAAGATTAGTGCATCCCTGTCAGTGTGGTGACTGAGTGCTTGTTCTTGATTTGAAGATGCCACTTTGCTGTACCCGCTCATGGCAGAAGAGGCAAACAGGCTTCCTCAAGCCTGTCATCATCATCATCATTATTATTATTGTTGGCTTGCAGCACTACAGATTGAATCCAGCGCCTTCACACTGAGCTATATTCCCAGCCCTTTAAATTTTTTTTTTTTCTAAGACAGGATCTTGCTAAGTTACCCAGGCTGGGCTTAAACTTGCCGACTTCCTGCTTTAGCTTCCCAGAGTGCTGGGTTGCATGCATGTGCCACCATGCTTGGTTTCAAGCCTCTCACAAGGGCACTGTGTTTGTTACTTTTCTCTTGTTGCTGAGACAAAATGCCCGACACCCAAAGTTGGAGGGGAAGGGGTTTATTTGGCTCACAGTTTGTAGAGGTTTCAGTCCATAATTAATTGGCGGGCTCCAAGGCAGGGAGGATGGCAGACAGGCATAGCAGAGGAGAAACAGTATGATGCCAACAAGGTAGCAAAGGTAACGGGAATTGAACAGTATCTTTCTGTCCCTTTTCTTCAGACTCCTGGGATTAGGGTGGTGCCAAACTAATCACTCATGTGTAGTGGTTTAGTAATCACAGGCCCTTAACTCCAGTGTCACACATCCTAGACTCAGCTACCTCTGAAAAAGAAAGTCCTACCTCATCTGTGTGAGGCTTTGGCGGGGACATCTAAACAAACCATAACAGGCACTAATCTCATTCAGGATTCGAGAGCTCTTATGACCTACTGGCTTCCTAAGAGCCCCCCACCTGTTCCTATCATCTCATTGGTCATGAGGTTCCAACATGAACCAGGCAGGGGGCCCAACATTTAGACCATAGCAGTCAATTGTACTTATTTTCTATGCCTCTTGTAATTCTCTTTATGGTCCCCTGCTGGAGTTAGTTTTTTTTTTTTGAGACAGAGTCTTGCTATGTAGTTCAGGCTGGCCTTGAACTCACTGTGTAGCCCAGGCTGGCCTCAAACTTACAGCGATCCTCTTGCCTCAGCCTCCCAAGTGCTGGGATTACAGTTGTGTACCACCATGCATGGTACTTTATTTTTAAAAACACTTGAATTTTGTATTGGTACTTATTTGCAGTACATAATGATTATATTCATTGTGGGAAGTTGGTAGCCAGAGTTATTTTTGAGAATACAGGTTCATCTGTTTAGCAAATACCAAAGTTTACAGGACTATAGTAGAATTTTTTTTCTTTGTTTGGTTTTTTTTGAGACAGGGTCTCACTATGTAGTTGAGACTGACCTGGAACTCACTGTGTAGCCCAGGCTGGTTTCGAACTTGCAGTGATCCTCCTACCTCAGCCTCCCAAGTGCTGGGATTACAGGCG